AAAGATAATAATTGTGTAAATATTTTATAGGCATCAAACTGTACCCCATCTAAAGGCTCTTATATTTATTCAGTTTCTTGCACCCACTAATTTAATTATTATTTAATAAAAACATTTTTTTTTTTTTGTAAATGTAGCTCACCAGAGGAAAAAGGTTGAAGACCCCTGGTTTATGTCATGACTAAACAATGAAAAAGTGCTAAATGGTTCACATTTTTCTATAGCACTTTTCCACTTTCAAGGCACTCAAAGCACTTTACAACAAGGAACCACTCACCCATTCACACACCATTCACACACCAGTGTACGCAGACACTGTGGGCAAGGTGGGTTAAGTGTCTTGCCCAAGGACACAACGACAGCATTCATCTGTGGGAGCTGGAATCACACCAGCCAACCTGTGGGTCAGTGGATCTGACCGCTCAACCTGTGATGTTTATGTCGAGAGCTGGAATCAAACCGCCAACCTTCAGATCAGTGGGCGAATGCTCTACCAACTGAGCTACTACCGTCCCACTGAGCTACTGCTTTGCAAAAAATATAATTTAAAAAACACCTATAAAATAAAAGCAACGCAGCTTTAGTCCATGATGAGGTAAAATGATAAAATATGTTTATTTTGTAATTTCAAATGAGCTTAAACAGGTCGGTCAGAGTCAACCAAAGGGCCGTATGTGACCCAGGAGCTGTACAATCCCCATTTCTATTCTACCGATATAGAGGAATAAGGTCCTGTATTACACAAAATTGTTTTTTGTGAGCTTTAAGCCACTGTGTACCTCATCAAAAACATAGCCAAGAGTTGTGTTTTGTTTCATTCACACATGTTTGAGCAATCCTTTATTATTCATCTTTTAATCTAAGATCAAAGTTGCTCTGCTCCACCCTATGATGTCATGTAGTGGTAGTTTTCAAGTTGGCTTTAGTTCAGTAGAGACCGGCACATTATCCAAATGATTCGAGTGAAGGTGTATGGAGTTTAAATTCACAGTGAAGCACTTTCCGCACAGCCTAAATAATTACAATTTGAGTGTTAAACATGTGCAAATGAAACAAAACACACATTTTAGGTATGCTTTTGATGAAGAAACAACATTATAACATGAAACCAATGAAATCAAAATGTTGGTAATAGAATTAGCAGGAAACTGTAACCACTGAATTGGAAAACAAATTGAATCTAATATCTCCATCAATAGGTTTTATGCAGTGGCAAAGATGACTTGATCACACTTCAGGGATTTCTCACAGTCGAGTCCTAACCACAAATGACAACTGCTGATGGATGAGGAACACTTTCACTTAGATACGCAGACGTGCCGGTGCGAAACTGAGGGTTCTATTCCCAAAGGAGCTTCAACTGTCACTCCGGCCACCTTCATCCCGACTGTATTGACTGTCTTGTGAACTCAGATAATCAATAGAGCTTGTCATTGTGCGGTAACAAGACGGATAGGCCTGTTGTCAGAGATGTGAGGAGGAGTTAGAAATTGTACTCGAGAAGCAGTGTAGTTAGTTTAAATTGTAAGAGTAGAAGAAATGTCACAAAAGTACTTACTCGTATTGTAAAAGCAGCTTTTGAGGTAAAAATATACCACCATCGGTTCATCAGTTTAGGCAATATTCTGTTTGCCTTTAATTTAATGTTTGATGTTGGACTATTTACTGGCTGATGTTTGAACTTTAATTCATACAAAGTAACATAACATAACATAACATAAATAACATAACATAAACACAATAACAATAACATAAATAACACTTACCATATTTTTTGGACTATAAGTCACTCCAGAGTACAAGTCGCATCAGCCAAAAAATGCATAATGAATTTAAAAAAACATATAAGTCGCACCGGACTATAAGTTGGACTTTTTGGGGGAAATTTTTTTTATAAAATCAGAGACCAAGAAATGACATTTCATCTTGAAAGGCAAGTTGTATCGCAAGGCATAGTAATAACAATAGAACAGAGAACAACAGGCTGTTAACATAACATATTACCAAACTCTCCATCTCACTCCAAATCACTAAATCCATTGAATTCTTCATCCTCGGTGTCACTTCTGAGCAACTCTGTGACCTCCGGAGGTAAACAGAGCGCCGCTTCCTCTTCTGCGTAGCTGTCATCAGAATCAGCATCAGTTCCAGTTAGAATTATTCTGAATCACGACAGGATGGTTTTGGTGTCACTGAAGTCCAGGCTTTGTCGATCCATCCAGTGACTTCCAGGAAAGTGGTGCACCTTCCCTGTTGTCACCAGTTTCTTGCTCACTCCAAACTTACTTTCTGTTGCTCGATTATTGTTTTCAGCTGCATATTTCGCTACTTGCAGCTTATAATTTGCAGATATGATTTTCTTTCTTGGGGCATTTATGCTCAGTTTTCTCAGTTGTCTTAATAAGTTTGTTTAAATTTTAAATTTCAGTGGTACAGAAGTAATGGTGCGATCGACTGACATGATACAGACAGGACAGAGGCTCTTTCTGTAGAAGACATGCACAGTAGAGCCAAGTGACAGTGGTACAGGAGTAATAGGAGTAGCAGATACTGGCACACAAGCCTAGAGCGCCCTCTTGAGGCTGTCAGTGTGTAAAGTTTAATATATAAGTCATACTGGAGTATAAGTCGCAGGAATCACCCACGAAAAAAGTGTGACTTATTGTCCGAAAAATACAGTACATCCCACAATTGGATCCACTGCGTTTTTTTGGTGAAAAAGCCAACACTGGTATCGGTTAACACTGGGCATCAGCAGATAATTAAGGCCAAAGTATCTATATCAGTATCGAAACTGAAAAAGCTGAATCTCGCAGCAAAACTCTGGACTGGTCTCTGAGCGCTGTGAAAAGTGCTTAGTAGCTCATTGCGGTGATTAATTAGGATGCTCGGAATGTATAAGGTATCATTTGGATCATTGCCAACAGTTTAAGATGAATTAATTCTGTTATTTCAAGTATTAAGACTGTAAAAATCGTGAACAGCATAAATATCTGGTCGCACATGCACATCACATCTAAAAACTGGACTAGAACGGGAGTAAAAATGAGCCAAACTAAGTCCACAGTTCATAAGACTCAAACCAGGATCAAACTTGTCAGTACTAAAGAGAACATTATCCACAATAAAAAATAAAAAATTGCTGCGTCTTTGTATCTGTGCAAGTTTTTTTGACAGCCAACTTAAATTTGACGTGAACACTGCTGTTGTCAAACGTGTCCAACAAAGACTGCAGGTTTCGAGGAAGTTGAACTCTTTTCCTGTTAGTCATTCCATTTTGTCGCTTTTATCAGTCCTTTATTGAGGGCCTGCTGTGTTTTTCTTTTATTTGTTGGTGTAACAACCTCTCCATCAAAGACTAGAACAGTTTTAATTCTATTGTTAAAATCTGTTCTAAAATCACCGGAGTGCAGCACAGAGACTTGGCTTCCTTTTGTAAAAGGACAAAAACCAGCGTGACTGTGAGTGAGCTTTCTTTACTGCCCTCGGGCCTCGGGTATCTGAAATTTTTCATTCCTACGGACATTTGCCTTTCACATTCTACTTAGATGTAATGTATTTATACCAGGTTTGTTCAAAATCTGAAAACTGTGTTGAATCTTTTTTGTGTTTTTCAGCTCAAACCAATCTAAATATGTTTGAAATCACAACAAATACTCAAAATTATGACTTAGAAGTAGAAGTAAAAGTATGGTTAGTTACATTTACTCAGCGAAGTGCTTTAATATTTAAAACTGAGATGTCTAATTTTCAGTTTAAGGAGGAACTGGGTTTATAAATCTGTCTAGCTAGTTCCAGCTCTCACAAGCCCTTTGGCACAACACTCGCGTTCAGAACAGCTTTTTTAGACAGAAAAGTGAAGCATGGTGGACCACAGCCAATCAGCTCTCAGCCCAAAGAGTCAAATAGTGACTTGCATGGCTCTTTCTTGTGACTCTCGCGAGCTTTATGTCACGTCATCTAAAACTGTTACATCGTCAAAAATACACCTGGAGTTGTGTGTTTGAGTGATCCTGCATTAGTTTGTCTATATCTCTAAAAGTAGTTTTCAAGTTAACAGCTTTTTTTTACCTGTAGTTCAGTAGACATCACTGAAATCATCCAAATAATTGATTGATTGATTGATTTAGGTCACAGGTTTATTCTGACATTATTCCACAGTCATATTTAACATACACAGACTGAAAAAGTGCAGGCTGAAGCTTGAGTTTATTATGAATTTACCCTTTAGTCCTTTGTCAAAACGTCATCTTGACACCAGTTCATCTTCATAAATACAGCAAGAGGAAACAAACAAATCAGTAACAGATACAACAAAGTACAACAGCACAAACTAAGTGTCATAACTCATATAGCTGCCCAGAGTTAAACATTTAAACTTCTTTATAAAATGGAACAGAGTGTGTACAGTTGTTCCAGAGCTCCACCCAGAGACACAAAATTTCATAATGTTTGTTCTGATTTTGTTTTTTGTTTTTTTTTTATAAATGTAGCTGTTCTTCTGAGCTCATATTGGCTATTTCCCATTTTGCAGATATTCTGTAATCATTTTGACCAGAGATTGTTGTTTACTTTGAACATGATTTTCAAAGTGTAAAGGTCGACTAAATCGTAACATTTCAGAGTTTGAAGGTTTATAAATAATGCATTGGTTGGTTCATTATAAGTTGATAATGTGATGCTCTTATTGCCTTTTTTTTTTTTGCAAAGTAAAGATTGGATTTGTGTTAGTCTAATATGTATTGCCCCAAATCTGGTGAAGGTGTAGGAGTTAAAAAAAAAAAAAAAAACAGTGGAGGACTTCTTGTATTACCACATGACATCACAAGGTGCAACAGTGTTTTCCCTTCAAGGATTGTGTGCTAAACATGAATGAAACAAAACACAACTATGGGTTTGTGATGAGGAAAGAACGTAATATAGATTTTTAAAAAGCATAATATGGGCCTTTTAACTATTAGAATTGTGTAGTAATGTTATTTTTGTGTGTTTTTGTGCAGGTATGCGTATCCTGGTGACTCTGCTGCTGGACACTCTGCCCATGTTGGGAAACGTGCTCCTCTTGTGCTTCTTTGTGTTTTTCATCTTTGGGATCGTCGGGGTGCAGCTGTGGGCGGGGCTACTGAGGAACCGCTGCTTCTTGGGAAAGGACATCATAACGTAAGACTGTTATTGTTTTTATTATGTCTGTTTTAAAGCGGGCCTATTATGCAAAATCGACTTTTCAGAGATTTTCAGCATGTCATGTCATCTCAATCCGTGTGTCATTCGTTCATTCGTTTTTCAAAATAAAACCAAAAATGAGAAAACAAAAAACAACCATTTTATTCATTATTTGTCTCCGAAACCAAACGGATAACGATTTGTTTTTTTCAGTTATCGATTTTGTGTTTGTTTAAATAATGGAAACTGCCTTTTCCCATTTCCGTGACTTAAACTGCGATGCCGGATTTTGTGCCGCATACGGACTGAACCAGGTCTTAACCAGGACTAAACAGAACTGAACAAGGTCTAAACCTGGTCTAAACCAGGTCCAAACCAGGTCTAAACCAGGACTGAACCAGGACTAAGTGTTGGGACATGCTCAGAGGTGCGCCTGCGTAGATTGTCTGGTGATCGGGACCAGACCGAGACTCAGACCGGGACTCAGACCGGAACTCAGACCGGGATAGTCCTGGTTAAGTCCTGGTTTAGTCCTGGTGCAGTCCTGGTTTAGTCCTGGTTTAGTTCTGGTTTAGACCTAGTTTAGACCTGTTTTAATCCTGTTTTAATCTTGAACTTCTTGGGTTGTTTTTAAAGACAATACAGTAAAGTGTATTTACCTTGTTGACATGTTTCGGCTGCTGCTGCAAGCCAAGTCTTCAGAACTGTCCTTGGTGCTGGTTGTGACGTGTCGTATATCAGCTGTTGTTACTTCCTGTTGGCGTGGTCAGCGTGGTCTACGAAATTCAATGCAAATCATGCAATAAATCATACATAGGGGAAACAGGCCGGGCATTCCACATTCAAAAAAAAAAAAAAACATCAAAAGGAATGCAAAAAGGAAACATCGGGGAGACTCACCAGAACACAAAAAGATAAAGCAGAACAGGAAAACCTAAAATCCACCATATCAGACACTGTAAAAGGAACAACCACATTATGGATTGGGACGGGGCTCGGGTCATTGGATCGGAAAACAACAAGTTCAAACGCTGGATCAAGGAGGCCATCGAAATCAGGAAACGAGGCACGGACAGCATTAACCGTGATGATGGCGCGTTCCTCCTTTCACACACCGGGCGATGGGAGGCGTGGTCAGTCTGAGCGACCTGCCAGATCCATCAGGCTGACCACGTCTACAGGAAGTAACAACAGCTGATATACAACACATCACCACCAACACCGGGGACACTTCTGAAGATGTTGCCGAAACATGTCAACAAGGTAAACACACTACTGTATTGTCTTTTAAAAAAAACAAGAAGTTAAAGTATATAAGAAGACAAAATGAACATCTTTGGCTGTTTTAGTCTTGGTTCAGTCTATGTGGTTAAAAAGTCCGGCAAATTAAGTCACGCAAACGGGAAACTGACATTATCAGGTTTTTCCATTATTCATTTAAGCATAAAATCAAAAATTGAAAAAAACTAATTGTTATCTGTTTTTTTCTATTTGGTTTTGGAGACAAATAATGAAGAAAATTGCTGTTTTTCATTTTCTTATTTTTGGTTTATTTTGAAAAACGAATGAACGAATGATACACGGTAGGGATGGTCATTCGATGAAATTTTCTTAATCGATCGTCGGAAGAATTAACGATCGATTATCGATTAATCATTAACGTTTTTATATTAAAATGATCATCATTATTATTACTATCTGCACTACTAATCTGCATAAATAAATTCAACTTTACGACATATAAACCGTAACGACTCTAGAGCCACATCAATCCGTTTGACATTATAATGTGTTTAATTCAGTTTTGCGCAACTCTCACAAAAACAAAACTTAAAACCGCATCGCTAATTTGCATAAACTCAGCGAAGATAAAACTACAGCTCTTGTGTCGCTGATGCGGTTCAACTTCTGTCGGATTAAAAGACACGATTCAGTGGAATACAGGTTAGTGTGACCATATTTGCGTTTGTCAAAACCAGGACACCGTACGGGGGGAGGGAGGTGGGGACTCGTCATCGACATTGCGCGACTCTCACCTGGCAAAACTTTTTCCCACTGGACACCGAAACATATGTTGCTGCTTTATACACTGTGCACATGGACTCACACTTGTCCCGAACGCAACGGAAAGCGTGGAATTTCTTGTACAAATCATCGTTAAATACGCATTTGTGCTTCGGTACGCTGCAGACTGACCGACTGTTTGTGTCTCGCTCCTTCTGAGTGCAGAGAGACACATGTACAGACCCCTGTTTGGTCACGCTACGCACAGCAACCTACATTCGGTTTGTCGATTAAAATTAACGTAATCGATGAAATTCTTAATGATCAATTATCGATTAATCGATTAATCATGCCCATCCCTAATACACGGATTCATCTCAAAGTTGTATTTGGAGTGATTCATGCATGTTTGAATAATATTTAGTCTTCTCCGATTAACCCCCCTTTTCATTGCAATGGGACACGCCCACTGCTCTGTATTTATTTTCTTCTGTAATTTTATTTTCTTAATCAGTGATACAGGACGGTAGGGGCCAACACCTGCATGACTGTTTGAAATCAGCTGTTTTAGATGAATATTGCAATTTAAAATGTCCAAAATATAACATGATGCGCGGGTGTCACTGATTATAACTATACAGCAGACACAAGCACAATAGATCTTCTTTAATGTCATGCACGATGTATCAATTATAAACCCTATTAAAAAACGAATTAATTAATCTTGTCATCATAGGAAATCAAATTGACTTAAATGTTTAAAGTGTTTAATTCGTAGCCTTCAGCGTATTCCGCTCAATATTTTGTACGTTGACATGATTTTAATTGGGGTTTGTCTTTTATATTGACAATGGCCTGAAAAATAAAGAAATACCATAAATTAGGGTAAAAGAATAAAAACTCAAGATTGAGCTAAACAAATGCTATAGAGAGTTGAAACCATTTGATGCAAGTTCACATTTGAGGACTATGGATTTCTATACAAAAAGTATTTAGAAAACTCTTACTAGCACTACTACTACTACTACTACTACTACTACTACTACTATTACTACTATTACTACTATTGCTGTTGCTGCTACTACTGCTGTTACGTTAAAAAAAAAAACATTTCGGCGTGCATCTCGCTACTGAAACTACTGCACATCGCATCAGGTTTATGAAGTTGTAGTGTATTGTTTTGTATCACGCTTTTGTATATTTATGGAGAATTGCCCAACAGGAGCGTGGGTAACGTGGGTGACGTGGGTGACGTGGGTGACGTGGGGGACGTGGGGGACGTGGGGGACGTGGGGGACGTGGGCTGAGCATTGGACAGAATTTTACAGCAAACTGTAAGGAGGATTTGAAAAAGGGGCCTGGGAGAGATCACAAGGTTACTAACAATTAAAACCACTTGTTTTTGATGAGGGAACAACATTATAACATGGTAGAAACAGCATATTTAAATATAAATACATATTAAAATAAAGTGTCTTTTGAACAGTTCCTTCAAGTGTCCAGACAGAAGGTCTCATTACCAGAACAAGTGCAAACTCTTCTGAACTGTTTTTTCAAGTATCATCTGCACTACACCACACACTGCTAGCCTTGTACTTTATTTTCTATGGTTACTACAAATAACATTTGCTGCCTTCTCCAGACAGATCCTATCTCCTCTTATGATGAAAAACCAACTCTTATCTGATCGGCACCATTATATTATAACAGACACAGGACTGGGAATGAAATGATTTTAGTCACAGAATGATACGAGGAAAAGAAAAGGCTCTTCAGTGTTCCCAACTTCACATAATTTGTGTTTGGAAACCATAGAACAAGTCGTGCTCTGTTAATGTAGCAGCATCTGCGCGTCACAGGAGATAAAGCTAACAGTATTTGCTAAGCGACTGCGCGACCTTCAAAACGGTATGAATGTAATATATCATGCACTAGCTCGCACATATGTGTTCTACACACATTAAAGAAAATGTAATGTGCTGAGGTTAGAGAATACAAAATTGTTAAACAGTTTTCTGTGACTTTGAAACAGAGTTGAGTAAAGTAGAAAAAATGTACTCAAGTAACCTCCACTTTACACAAAAGCAGTAACAGAGCGCAGGTAACGCTTTCCATTTTAACCGCTTGAACAATCTACAGCAGCAGTGTCATAAGCATGAACATCGGCCGTCATTAAGCTCTGCACCGCTTAAATTAGGTTGGAGTTCTAATTTATCAACGTCTCCAGGCTTTTTAGCAGGGGAAAGACAAGAAAAGGCCAAAGGTGTCAAAATAAACTTCCGACGCCCTTTCAAAATACGTTCTCTAAAACCACTACAGTCGCGTAAACACCACGAGTCACATCAGGAGCTCGGGGAGTGACTCATGATAGACTATGGAAAGTTTACAGCCATAAATATAAAACACTTTACAACATCAGACAGAAACTTTACAAGAACAACTTCTGAAGGAAAAGGTGCGTGGTGCAGACGACCAAAGTGAAATAATGAGTAGCTTAATTAATGCGAGCCCCACAGATACGGCTTATCGCTGCAAAGCGTCGTCTCTCTTGTTGTCAACCTTTGTATTGTGATTTAAAACATAATTCATCCACTCAACAATGAATACATAAGTAATGTAAAAAGTTTAGTGTTTAAATGTGAAAATACACAGAGGCTGGCCTCACACGAGTTCAGGAAATTCAGTTTGATTTCTTTTTTTCTTTCCTTTTTAGTGCTATTTAACTGAAAAATAGTCCAATTCTATAATGACAGATGATTCGATGTAGACCTCTTGATGAAAAAAAAGACTCTTCCAGATCACTGACAAGAAATGACTAAATCTCCAACCAAATATTATCAAATACCAAACCCTAGATTTAAGATTCCACACACTAACAACAGTAGTATTCAGTTTTCAGTTTCCCTTGTTTTTGCTTTATTCCTTCAGGATGTACAACCTGTCCATCAGTCCATACTACATGAACGAGGACGGAGAGGACAGCCCCTTCATCTGCTCTACCTCTCGTGAGAACGGCATGCTCCGCTGCAGCGACGTGCCCGCCAACGAGGAGGGAGGGGTGGAGTGCACGCTGCCCGACTCCGGAATGGGCAGGGCCAGTGCCAACGTGTGTGTGAACTGGAACCAGTACTATAACGTGTGCAGGCAGGGCGACCTCAACCCCCACAAGGGAGCCGTCAACTTTGACAACATTGGCTACGCCTGGATAGCCATATTCCAGGTAAGTGCTGGTGCCGATTTAAGTTTCACGGCAGGAGGGTCCAACTTTTCCAATTTGAGAGTTAAACTGCTAAAAAAATATTTAGATTAGTGCCTTGCTTGAAATTCAGGGTATTTTAAATCATTTCAGTACTGTATTTTCTGGACTTAAAATGCAAAATGAAGAAGAAAAAACATATATAAGTCATATTTTGGGGGGATCTTTACTTTATAAAATCAGACCAACAGCAGACATTTCATCTTGAAAGGCAAATTCTCTGTGTCGCTCCTGAGCAACTCCACCAACTCTAACTAAATCTAGCACAATTAGTTTATTTTTTTTTGTATTCTTCATTGCAGTTTGAGTATCCTCCGCTTTTCACCAGTCCCTCACAAGTTTCTCGATCACTCCCAAACTTTCTTTCTGCTGCTCGGTTACCATTTTCGGCTGCATATTTCAGTACTTGCAGAATATGCAGTTAATTACCATGTGATAAAATAAGTTATGATGCTAAATTAATATTAGTGAGTGGGAAATACGTCTTAATGACCCATAGGCGTTAATGCAGGTGGGCGCATAAATGACAAGAAGAAATGTTTCAAACTCCAGTAGCCGGACATTCCCTTATACATAATCCCCCCAGGAGAGCCTGAAATCTGCTGAAATCCTACAAGACACAGACATGACACCAGACAGGACAGCGGCTCTTTCTGAAAAAGACATGTGGAGAAGTGATAGTGGTAGATACTCGCCCTCTCGCTCCTGTCAGTGTGAAAATAATGAACATGTGAAATTATATATTTTAATATTTAGGTCACACGCGAGTATAAGTTGCACGATCACCCAAACCACGAAAAAAGTGCGGCTTATAGTCTGGAAAATAAGGTAGTTAACATTTCAGTACCTTTTTGGTTGGGGGTCCGTCGCCTGCTTGTTTCTATGGATACGTCGTTACTCTACCTGGAATGTTCCACAGTATGACATTAAACAGATTTACCTTACATTTCGTCAATTACAGTTGGTTTTACTGCTCAAAAATACCTAGAAAAACAGACATTCTGACTGTGAGCGATTGCCTCTCCATAGATCTGACCTGTAACTTGGTGTGGTTTGGTCTCCATGGAGATAGAAAGGTTTAATGCCATACTGTGAAACATTCCAGACAAAGCAATAACATCTCCATGAAGAAAAAAGCACTTGATGGACCCTCTTCCAGAAAATGTACACAATGCACCTTTAAGTAACTTTTCTGGTTTGCCGACTCCTTGTTTCCATGGAGATGTAATGTGCCTGCAATGTCCCGTTGTATGGCATTAAAACGTATATCTTGCATTTATTTCATTATAGCTGTTTTTATTTTTATTTTTTGATATTTTTTATAGAAATATCTTTAAGTACTTGCATTCTTACTGTGAGCGGGATCGCCTCTCCACAGATCTGACCCGTAACTTGGCCTTGTGCTGTCACCTGCTTATGTGTTTACTTATTTTCTACGCCATACCGTGGAAGTTTGAAGCAATAAAATCTCTACTGTTGAAGTTCTTTATATTCTCCCCAAGATATTTCCCTGTTGTACGAATACATAAACCGTTTCAAGCCAAATTGCTTTCTAATGAGCCAAGAAAAAACACTTATTAAGTACAAATTTCTTACCTCAAGGCATCAAGTGATTATTCTACTGAAAACAAGAAAGAATTCAAAATATCTGCACCTAATCTCACCAAAACGGCTTAGATCAGGGGTGTCTAAGCATTTGGACACCGAGGCATAACGTGGAACTTGCCCAACTGATTATAAGCAGATTTTTTTTTTTCTGCAAATTTACGTAAATCTACCAGTAATCATCTCGGCAACAAATTATATTATGGTACAGATGTAAAATTAATGTTCAGTCCATGTTAATAGTACAGTAGCTCTACAACTTAAGTACTTAATTGGCATCTGTAATGTTCACTGTTGGGCAAGTTACTTCAAAACTGTAATCTGTTATTTATGACTTGTTACTTTCATTTCAAAGTAATTTGTTATATTACAATATTACTGTGTTTAAAAGGTAAGACATAACATGACTACTGCAGCACTTTAAGTTACTCTCAACAAAATAACTAGGTGATTGTTAAAGAACAATCAGCGAGAGAAGATGCTGAACTTTTGCGCCGTATATGGACTGAACCAGGGCTAGGGTCTACACCAGGTCTAAACCAGGACTAAACTGGCTCTAAAGCAGGTCTAAACCAAGACTAAACCAGAAATAAACCAGGACTAAACCAGAACTAAACCAGGTCTAAACCAGACCTAAACCAAGACCAAACCAGGTCTAAACCAGGACTAAACCAGGGCTAAACCAGATCTATACCAGGACTAAACCAGGTCTAGACCAGGAGTAAACCGGGACTAAACCAGGACTGAACCAGCTCTAAACCAGATCTATACCAGGACTAAACCAGGTTTAAACCAGGACTAAACCGGGACTAAACTGGGACTGAACCAGGACTTAACCAGGACTAAACCATTACTAAACCAGGTCTAAATCAGGACTAAACCAGGTCAAAACCAGGACTCAACCAGGACTAAACCAGGACTAAACTAGGTCTAAACCAGGACTAAACTAGGACTGAACCAGGACTAAACCAGGTCTAAACCAGGACTAAATCAAGACTAAACTAGGACTGAGCCAGAACTAAACCAGAACTGAACCAGAACTAAACCAGGTCTACACCAGCACTAAACCAGAACTAAACCAGGTCTACACCAGCACTAAACCAGGACTAAACCAGGACTAATCTTGGACTAGGACTTGGAATCTAGGACCTCCCATGAGAGAACCTCGAGCTCGTGAAGGAGGGTGTCCGCAAAGCGCGAACGGGCCCCAGCTGCGATTAGCCTCGTGAAGCGTGGAGCTCTGTGCCGGTCCTTTCGCTCGTGGTTACCTGATGGTCTACGCAGGTGCACCTCTGGGCCCGTCCCCCCACTCGGAACCGTAGCGATGGCGTTTCACCGCTGCTGATAATGCAGTGATTTTAGCGAATTTGTATGAAGAAAAACGAACAACACCCCAAATATTACCTTTTTTTCCTGTGATGCCGAACATTACTGCGTTACAGCAAAAAGCAATGCATTACAGTAATTTGATACTTTTATAACGTGTTACACTGGTAATGAGTCATAGAAGTTATTAATTCAACCTTTTACAGCTCAAATCATGTCATATAGTCAAAAAAAATAACCCAAACTTACCCGGTAGTGCGAAGAAAATGTCCACACAATAAATACTGACCCCAAAAAGTTCCCGTACTGCTCCAGCTTTCATATATTGATCGATAAGAACTGTAGATATAGTTATTATCCTGACAAAGCTAGACACCTCTTACTTAGATCCAAAATTCAGAATTCTAGTCAGATTTACTTAGTTCACATTCATAGTTTGCAGGATATAAGCGATGACGCGCTGCAGGCGTCTTCATAAAACTACCAGAGTCTCCCTATTTTAAAGTCCGTTTTCATTTCTCCCAAAAACCTCCTCGCTGTCTGTGAATACATTTCTGCTCAGCTCCTCTCGGGTCTGGGCTCGGCGGGAGATCGTCACTCACCTTTTCTGCCCTCACAACACTCTAAAACTTCCAGCCGTTCTAATAGAAGTGTCCAGACCCTGCTAATAAATGCGCCTGTGTGCCTAATGGGCTTTGACTAGCACAACACGAGGAGCTCTCAGAGAAATCTACCTCCAAATGACCTCGCAAACACGCCGGACACGCGCAATTACACTCCGGGGTGACAGGGCGGCGACAGTGGCACCTGCTGCTACACGAACTCCTTGATAACAGTGCAAAGTTATTCTAAACTTCGTCTCTGGTTCCAAATCTGGCTACTCGGATAGTAATCAACTCTAAACTTGGTATGTCATTGCTCTGTCTGGAATGTCCCACAGAATGGCATTAAATAACTCAGATTTATTCATTTATAGATGGTTTTAGAGCTCAAAAATACCTAGACAAACTGGTATTCTGACTGAGCGGGGTCGCCTCTCCACAGATCTGACCTGTAACTTGATTTGGTTTGGACTGCATGAAGATAGAAAGGTTTAATGCCGTACTGTGAAACATTTCAGACAAAGCAATAAAGTAAGACTCAAATTTTGATCATATTTCGATTATGTATATATATTTTATTCATTTTATGTTTTATACATCGCAAAGCTGCTCTAAGGTTCATATTTGTAGCTTATATTTATTTTCAATTTGAAAGTTTTGCCTAAATTATCAATAACAAAGTGTTTTTTGTTTTTGTTTTTTTTTTTGGGGGGGGGGGGGGTAACTAAAAAATAATCGTTTGAATAATCGTAATTTCAATTTTGATCAAAATAATCGTGGTAATAATTTTTTCCATAATCGAGCAGCCCTACAATAAAGTCTCCATGAAGAAAAGCATTTGATGGAAAAATTACACCAGAAAAGTTTTTTTAAGTTATTTTTGAAAGATAAGCTGGTGGTGAAGGAAAAGTATTTTATGCAGTAGGAAACAGTATAATGGGGACTAGTTTATTACAAAGTTGCCTTACTTATTAGCCTGATTCATCTGACGGTTTCATTTTATGGAGACCCTCTGACCTCGCAGCATTAGAATTCCTTCTCTCAACAGTAGGCAGGTACTTTTTTTTATTTAAACAATCGCTGCTATTTGGTCATGACGTATGTAATGCGCCGCTAATGGGGATAACTGGTATATTAAGGTTTTTCTCAAATCCTGTAGGAAGAAGGACAATAACGTCTTTCACCTTGATAAAATTCACCAAATATTCTCTTTGTTTTGGCTTTAAATCCTTGATCTCAGGAATCGTTGCCAACACAGAATTTATGGCTCTTCGTTAATTGGCTGGTGCCCAGACTCGCACTTCCAGGGTTTTTGCAAACCATCTAGTGTATTCCAATTCCTGACCTAGTCACTGCAGAGAAATGAAATTGAGCAGAGGCACTAGGTGGCGCCAACCTGACTAGTTACTTAAAGCCTCACTGTAACTTTTT